CTATTGCTCTTCAGAGCAATAAAACAGTGTTTAAGACACTGTTTTCAGGGGTCCCAAGCTCCTCATTCCCCATGAAATCTTGCTGTTAAGAAACACACTCTAGGGGGCTGGAGAGATGGCTCAGTGGTTAAGGGCACTGGCTGCTCTTCCACAGGTCCTGAGTTCAATTCCCAGCAACCACATGGTGGCTGGAAACCATCTGTAATGAGATCTGGTGCCCTCTTCTGGCATGCATGGATACATGCAGACAGAACACTGTATACATAATAAATAAGTCTAAAAAAAAATACATACCCCATTAACACACTTTCTCTGGCAACTTGAATTCAATACCCAGGTCTTGCCCGAAGGTGGAAGGAGAGGACCAGCTCCACAAGGCTGTGTTCCGACCTTCATACGATACTGTGCCACACACACACAGGAATAATAAATCATTTAAAAAAAAAAAGAAAAGAAACACACTCTAGGGACGGGAGAGATGGTGAGGTGGCTGGGAACACCTGCTGCTTTTGCAGAGAGAACTTGGGTTTTATTCCCGGCACCTACATCTACAACCGTCCGCAGCTCCACGTGTGACCTTCTCTTCTGTTCTCCTCAGGTACTGCATGTACATGGTGCACACACATACACACAGGCAAAACATACATACACATAAAAACAAATTTGAAAGTTAAAAAAAAATAAATACACTGGACATTTAGGGTTGGTGAGATGGTTCAGTGTGTAAAGGTATTTGCAGCTATGCCTGATAAACTGAGTTCCAGCCCTGAGCCCCACATGATGGAAACAGAGAACCAACTCTTGTAAGTTTTCTCCGACCTCCACAGAAGTGTCTGACCCTACCCACACACTCACACACTTATACATACACACACACTCACATACACCCATCCACACTCACATGTATACACACGTTCATATACACCCAGACTCACACATGCTCACACACATACACACTCTCACACACACATATTCACATATGCTTACATACACACAGTTGCACACACATACACACATGCCAAATAAAAATTAAAAATAAACACCATGTTTTTAAGAGTGCATTCTCTGTGGTAACATTTTAGAAAATGTGGACCCTGGTAATGCATAGGGAACCTGAGACTCCCAGCACGGATCTTTAAAGTAGCCTGGCCATTTATAATCGCCTGGGGACATACCTTCTGTGCCCTATTCATGATCATGCTGAATAGAGCCGCATGCTCACTTATTCCACTAGGACCCACTGTACGAACATAATGCCTTGAAGGGTTGGAAGGCTTTCCGACACACCATTTCAGATGTCCACAAGCTCTTCCAAACGGGTAGAGCAAGCATGACCTTGTTCTTACTTCGGGGATGAGGGCGGAGCCCCTGAATCCAGGCATCTCTTGTCTCCATGACTCTGTCCAGCTGCCATGCTTCTCCCATTTCTCCTCTGGGCCCAGTGCCAGCCTTCTGGAGTCTCTGCACCATTCAGACTAGAGCCTATGAGCGCAGCTTGGTGTCCTTCCTCTCACCCCGGGAGATAGCTTTTCTTTACTGTTCTTTTTCAGCCTTCACTTTCATAATTCTTTCTCTACCCGGGAGAAACAGAAGACCCCAACCTTTCCTAGGCAGATGCTGGCTGCTCTTAGAGTTTGAGTCTGAGGTCGCCCACAATTCATGTTCTCAATAGTGTTTTCCAGCTTGTGGTACTATTTGAAAGTCAACAGGCCTGTAGGGTGTGGGGCCTGGATGCTGGCAGTGGGTCACTAAGGATGGGCCTTTAAAGGTTATTCCTGCCCCTGACCCTGGTTCCAGCCTGTGCCTTCTGTCTTCTTTCTGTACCATATAAGTAGCAAAGACAGAGCCACTCCCCACCCCAGGCTTACCCTGAAACCACAGACCAAGAGGTCTCTGAAGCCATGAGACAAATAAACCTTTTCCCTTTAAGCTGCTTCTGTCAAGGATTTCATCACAGGAAGGAGAAGAGTGATTAATGCAACCGACCAACTGATCTGTTCTATTCTGCCTAGTCCCATCCTCCACCCCATGGTTGACATCATTTATTCATTTGACAAACGTTCCCTGGCCTCCTTTTTGGAGGGGCACTTTTTAGATACTGAGAAATGCGAGTAGACGGCAAATGCATATGTAGTTATAACAGATGGGGATGGATATTTGCATTTGAAGTATTTTTCATCTCTAATTGGTGAATGTAAAGAGATAGCTCCCAAAGCACACTATTGCCAACTTCATTTTTTTCCACCGAATGGTGTATGTTCTTTACTCATTATTTATAAGATGATAGGGCTCCCCCACCCATGGCTGCTGGGCTAATGGGAAATTTCCAGTAAAACCCAGCAACGTGAATGGTGTGCATCTGCTCTGTGAAGCATAAGTTCGAGCCTTCTTAATTCATTAGTCAGTAACCTATTGATTCTGAGAGCTACTGACTCTGTGCTTTGTCATCATTTTCATAAAGCGTTCCTCAGGGTAGCTCTATGTAAAATATTGCGCTTATTAAGAGTTTTTGGACCTCTGATTAACGTTTGCAGCAAAAGCTATGTTAAGTAAATTAGTCACTAAATAAATCTAAAGTGATTGTGGGGAGTCATCAGCTAAATGAGGACGCTGACGGCTCACATAACAAGATGCAGAGCAATAGTAATTAAGAAAAATAATCACCTTTGCTGCCGAGGGCTCAGGTTTGGCCCCAAGTGAAGTAAGTCCCCAGATGTCTGTCTTCTGAAATGCAAATTTGACTGTTTTGTTCTTCTGTGAAGGGGTGGGGTGCTTTAGACCCCAACTCCACACAGTCTAGTCAAGTCATGTGTGAAGAGAAATCTTGTTTGAGGGAGAACACCACTGTCTTCCTTACTGTTCTATTGCTGTGAAGAGACACCATGACCAAGACAGTTTATTAAAAAAGAAACCATTTAATTGGGGGCTTGCTTACAGTTTCAGAGGGTGATCCATGGTTGTCATGGCGGGGAGCATGGTAGCAGGCAGGCGTGGCTGGCGCTGGAGCAGTAGCTGAGAGCTCATATCTCATCGGCAAGTTGGAGGCAGAGGGGGTCTGGGTCTAGGGGTGGGCTTTTGAAACCTCAAAATCCACCCCCAGTGCCACACCTGCCCCAACAAGGCCACACTGCTGTGGATATCACTTGATATAAATAAAGCACTGATTGGCCAGTGACCAGGCAGGAAGTATAGGCGGGACAAGGAGAGAGGAGAATTGAGGAAGGAGGAAGGAAAGAGAGACCAGCTGGAGCCACCGCCAAGACAAGGAAGATGTAAAGTACCGGTAAGCCACAAGCCACGTGGCAAAGTAAAGATTAATAGAAATGGGCTGAATATAAGAGTGAGAGCTAGACAATGATAGGCCTGAGCTAATGGCCAAGCAGTTTAAATAATGTAAGAGTCTGTGTGTTTGTTTTATAAATGGGCTCCGAGACTGGCAGGACTTGGTGGTGGGAGCTGGAGAAAAATTCTCCAGCTACACCACACCTCCTAATCCTTCTCAAAACAGTTCCACCAACTAGGGACCAAGCGTTCGATATATGAACCTACTGAGGCCGTTCTTAAACCACCAGAGCCAGTTACACGGGACCTCTTGCGGCTGTAGGTGCAGATTAGGCAGGCGGTGACCACCCCAGCGATTCACATGTCTTCAGATGTCTTTAGAGGCAGGAAGTCGTGATGGGACCAGTTCTGGCCAATGAGGGAGAGCTGTTGGGGAGAGCTCTCACGCGCACATCCACCTCTGCTCTCTCCCCCATCTTCTCTCTTCTTGCTTTGACCATGAGCAAGACACCCTTGTGGGCACATGGTAGCCATGCTTGAAGGCTGGTGGCACAGGAAGGCGGGCAGGCCTGGTTCCACCTCCTGCTGCCCTGACACCCGAGAGAAGAAGCCCTGTCTTTGGAAAGCATTTTCAGCGGTGTCTGTAGCTTGCACTCAAATACGGTCCTAACTTCAGGGCTTTTCAGCCCAGAGGGGAGTTCCTGAGTCAGGCTGTTGAGTTTAGTAGGAAAATCATGCTCTTGTATCTTTGTGGGGGCCAATTTTCATTCACAACTTCTACACATAGGCTTCTCTGGAGAAGCCTAGGGCAGGGCGTGTGAATGCAGTCTGAGGTTAAGCACAGGTCTCATTGGCTGCCTAGTCCATCAATCAGACAGTTTTCTTCATTGTGGACGGCTTTCTGCTATCCCACTGGACTATCTGATAAACAGGATGTGTTTGTCTTGCTGGCTCCAAAGAACACATGCAAAGGATGTGTTCAAAACAAGATGGCCTTCGCCAGCCACAGCGCTTGCCCTTACACTGCCGTCTTACAATTTTGGAAAGTGAAGCTGTGCCAACACAGATCAGGCCAGGCCTGAAAGAGCGGGAAGGTGGGAGGACGTGAGTGAGTGATGTCTTACCTCTCACAGGATCCATCTCCTGGATTACACTACACTTGTCCCCATGGCCGCTCCATGAACATTTGGTATGCATGTCCACACTGGTCAACAGTGTGGTGAATCCCAACAGCCCAGCTTGCCTTCTCCTTATACGACACATCCATGAAGAGGGAATATGGTTACCTTAAGAGTCAAGGGCCTAGGAGCATATACTTGAAGGGGCTTCAGGGGTTTTAATTATTGAGCACATTGAGGACTTGGTTCCTTTGTGAGATATTATTTCTTTACTTCATTAGCAAATATTTATTGAGCACTGTATTAGTTATTTACTATCAGATTAAAAGATAGACCCCAAACTTCATGGATTAAAATAAACATCTATTGTCTCACGTGACATGAGGGTCAGGAATTATAAGGACTTCTACTGAAATTCAGCTGGAGTCAGTACATCAATGGGGTGGGTAAAGGTGCTTGCCACCAAGCTGGACAGCCTGAGTTTGATCCTCGGAGTCTGCACAGTGGGAGGGGAGAACCTATTCCCATAGGCCGTCCTCTCCTTCCCACGTGTCAGGCAGATGAGCAAGTTCACTACTCTGTTTTCTTTCTACTTTGCAGAACTTGCTGCCGCTTCCTGGGAAGGATTCATGCTCCCTGAGTTTTCAATCATTTCTCTTAAACTCTTGCCTGCTGCCCCTTAAAGGCTGCCAGCCTTCTCCCGTTGGACCTTCAGGACTCTCAGGTTTGTCTGACAGTTTTCTTCTAATACTTCTGTCCATTTCCCAGTTCCAAAGCCATCCATAGGATTTTGTTAGGGCAGCACTACTACACTCTAGTTACCAAAATCTGTATTGGTGACCCACTGCTATACGATAAAGTACTAAAAACAATATTTGAAGACAAGAAGCTGATATTGCATGCATTTCTGTGGGTTAAGAATTTGAGAAGCTGGGGGCTGGAGAGATGGCTCAGAGGTTAAGAGCACTGGCTGCTCTTCCAGAGGTCCTGAGTTCAATTCCCAGCAACCACATGGTAGCTCACAACCACCTGTAATGAGATCTGGTGCCCTCTTCTGGCCTGCAGTCATACATGCTGTATACATAATAAATAAATAAATAAAAAGAATTTGAGAAGCTGGAGGCTTCTTACTCATGCTCTTTTACTGCAGTCAAGATGTCAACTAAGGTGGCAGTCATCAGAAGGTTTGGACAGGATGGAGGACCCAGGGCCAAGATGGTTCCCTTGGGTATTTCCAGGAAGCTTGTGTTATAGGGCTGTCCTTCAAGTCAGCTTCCTCTAGAGGGATCCAAGAGATAGCAAGACCAAATTGTAATGTCTTTTGTAACCTAGCCTCAAAAGTCACAGCAATCATTTTCTTAATGTCCTACCAGTTGTGTAGGCCAGCCCTATTCAGTATGGGAAGGGTAACACGGGGTGGGGTGGGGTATGACCACTAGGTGGTGAGTCATGGGGCCATCTCAGAGGCTGACTACCACAGAAGTTTACGAGAGCCCTTGGGCACAACTGGGAACAGAAGCCGAGCTTGCTACCCTAAAGGATAACATTTCACAGCCCTCCTCTCCTTCCTCCAATTCTTACAACCTTTCCACCTCCTCTTCCACGGCGTTCCCCAAGCCTGGGAGGGGCAGGGGTAGGGTTGGTAATGATGTCCCATTTAGGGCTGGGCACTCGGTCTTTTTCTCACCATATTGACCAGTCACACCTCTCTGCACTGGTTGCCACCACTGCAAGAGGAAGCCCCTCTGACCCCTGGGTGGGGTGGGGGTGTGGGTCATATTTTGATTATTCGAATTTTCTATAAATGTGATATCAGGAGACCATTGGAATAAAATAGAACCACAGATTAAAGACATGGGGAATATAGCTCACCAAGCAAACCTCAAATAAAACAAAAGGCAGAGAGGGTTTAACTTGAGGAACTGGCTAAAAGAAAAGTTAGGTGTTTTTTTTTTGTTGTTTTTTTTTTTTTGTTTGTTTGTTTGTTTTTTTTAGGCAAGAGAGCCTGGGAAGAGGAGAAGAGAAACCAGAACTGGAGGAGAACATTGGTGGCTGATGGAGGAGTGTCTCAAAGACCTTGGAAAGAAAGGAGTGGTCTGCCTTTGGAAAGAGACCTGAGATGGATAGGTAAAGAAACATCGTTAAGTCACGTTGAATGACCTTGCTCTTTCTTTTTATTGAACTCCCAGGGGAGATCATTTTATGGACGGGAGTCTGAGAAGTGGACAAGAGCTAGAGGATGAGGGAATGGGAAAGGGCTTTTGGCAGGACTCTGGCAGGGAGTGACCCAAATAACTCTCTGGATGTTAAGAGCTAGCTGAGTTAGATCGTCTGGGTGTGTAGGAGAGTCAGCGTGCCTGGGGACACGATGTCCTTTGGCATTGCTCAGCAGGCTGGGAGCAGGACAGGAAATGGATGGAATGTAACAGCTGCGGACACAAATGTCTGGAGCTGGAGATCTCCGGAGACTCCTTCCATCTGATTTCCATTCTGACTGAATGTCCCAGTTATAGGGTACCATTTTTTTCCTTTGAAGATCATTATGAACCTTGGGCCAAGAAGAAATGGCATAATTTGTCACTGAAATGTGCCGTGTGTAATGGAGAAAATATGCAAAGGGTTTAAATCTTTAACGGTTTCTAACACAAAGCTGGGAAGATAGTCAGTCCAGTGCTTGCCTGGCAAGCTCAAGGACTTGGATGCAACCCTCAGAACTCACATAAAAAAGCTAGGTGCTGTTGCTAATCTCCGATCCAGGTGCCCACTCCTCCCATTCCAGACCCTGCCCCTCAGGAACCCCCCCAGGGTTGGTTCCTCCCCCAGAGATGCTCAAGACCACGCCTACAGGGTATTTAAGACACGGTTCTGTTATTTCTCTACTGTTCTCTTCTCCTGAGAACCACCTGGGTGTGCTTTGCTCATTAAACCTGGACTTTCAATTCAGCCTGATCTGATTTATTGCACCGACAGAGAAACCCAATATCGGGGTACAGAAAAACCTTTCAGTTGCAAGTATTTGTAATCCCAACATTGGGGAGGCAGAGACAGGGGCATACCTGGGGCTTGCTGACCAGCCACCCTACCCTACTCCATGAGCTCCAGGGCAGGGAGAGACTGTCTCAAAAAGCTAAGGGGTGAAGGCTTCAGAGGTAGGTTTATGGTTAAGAGGACCAGGTTCAGTTCCCAGCACCCACATGGTGGCTCACACCCATTGGTAACTCCGGTTCCAAGGGATCTGGTGCTGTTTTTTGACCTCTGTGGGCACCAAACACACGTGGTACACAAATATACTCGTATTCACAAAATAAACACGCTGAATAAAAAAACCAAACTGTAAAGATATTAAAAAAAAAAAAGCGGACAACACCTGAGGAACGACACCTGAGGTTGGCTCCTGCACACACTGCAACCACGTGACCATGGTCCCCCACACGCTCACATACACACAGGTACAAAATAAGCCCTAAGATGAGAGCTTTAAAATTTACTGACTAGCATGGCTTCAGGTCATAGTGTGTGTAGATGATGTCAATGCCCACTTTATGCTCCAACCCATGTAATGAAACACTAATTCTTATGTTCTTCTGAAGGCGGGTCTTATCACAAACTGCTCAATGCCAACAGTGCTCCATGACAAACATTCTCAAGAAGATGAACTAGTCTGGGCCTTAAAAGACCCAGGCTCCAGTCCAGCTTTGTCACAGTCTGTGTGTCCCTTGGCAAGTCCTCATTCCCTGGCCTATAGCTTGTTTGTAAAATAGGAAACTAGATCGAATCCCTCCCGGACGTTATTACGAGGTCCTGCGGTTTCTGTTTCCAGCCCTCTGTTCACAAAGATTTTCCTCTGTGAGTGCCATGCAAGCTGGACACTAGGGGTCACGTTCAGATAACCACTCACAAGCACATCTGCCTGATAAACATACCTGTTTCCTCAAGAGAAGGCCCTCAGCAGCTGGGAGATGAGTGACCTGCTTTCTCATCTGAAGATCTCTGAATGAGCTCTCTGCAATTTCCGTTTTTGGCTCACTGAGGATGGGGACAGGGCAGGAAGCCAGGTTTCTCGGACTCTCAGCTTTTCCTTTGGGTTAATGCTATTTTCTTCCTTTCACACATGACTGTGGGAGACCAGCCCCCACAATTATTTACCCCAGGGACTCTTGAGGAATGAAGGATAAGGGATTTAGATAGAAATATAGAAGAGAGAGACAAACACAGGATAACCTCGGGAGGGCCTGGGTCATAAACCCACCGGCCCCTTCTGTCTCCTCTAAGGGCTTTTAAAGGAATGCCAAGGGGTGGAGCAAAAGACCTCCCTGCAGCATAGCCAAGTGCAGACCCTTCCAAACACCTGGTGACCATGCACGTGGTCAATCCTTCCCCTTATGCAGCCCTGCTATGTAAAGCAAGCTCAGATCTCACTAGGAAACCTCTGTGGACCCCCAACACACGACCCCACCCCCACCCCCAATTAGTCCTTCAATTGTGAGGCAAATTATTCATCTCAATGATTCCTGGTTTTTCTCTATCTGTACTTCTTTGCTAGGTGGGCTGGTCCCAAATCAGACCACTCCCAAAAACAACAAACGAAGCCAACAGAACTGCCCCTGTGGACACTGGCTTCTCATCGACCGGTCAGCGTTACTTTTGCAGTGGAGTGCTTCTGAGAGAGGTGCGGTTCTGATTTCTTGGTAACCTTGTTTTACCATGCTCCAGTCTGAGCACTCCCCTTCCTGGTCTAAGCCCCCATTTGTCCTCTCTCAATTGTCTGTCTTGGGGAAGATAGAAAATTAAAATGATTTACCATTGTAGGGGAAGGATAATTCAATAAGCCATTTCCACATTTAACGGTAATATTTGAAAGCATCTGCATGGCTCTACAGTTTTCAAAGTGTTTTTATATCTATCATTTCCATTCATCATCACTGTGTGTTCCTTCTCCACCCTTCCCCCATGTCTCCTTTGAAATAAAGGCTAAGGGGACACAGAAGGGACAGAGGAGAAGGCAGCCATCCTTGGAAGAGGGCGAAGCTCATGTTGATGATCTGGGTTAGTCTTGGCTGTGTCTCTCAGCAGCTAGATATCGGCAAGTCACACCCCTGAATGTGGATGTCCTCCCTTAAAAAGCTGGCTCTGAATGCACATTGGGTTAGTGGGAAGATGGTCATTTCTCACATTCCTGTGACCAGTTTGCCACAGTTATTATCTGTGTTTTTGTCCAGTTCATTTCCCTAGACCCCAGTCCTGATACTGTTAACCTGGAGGCTCCATGGTTCAATCCTTTCTGTGGGCAGACCCACACCCAGCCAGTTCCCTTCTGGGTTTTTAGATGGAATGGATAGCTTGGCAGAAGAATCACATGCGTGCCTTCCGTGAGCCTGAAGAGATGCCCTTGGAGAAAGGAGTTCAGCGAGGAAGGGGCTGATCACTGCCCAGGAAACTTCCAGTAAATAGAAGAACAGCTGCAGCTGGAGGCCACTGGGCTGGGACAAAGTCTGAGGGACAGAGAAGGAAAAAGTAGTCAGAAGAAAGATCGAACAGTGTGAAGAGCAGACGTTGTTTACCCAAAGAGCCAGGGGGACAGGGGGAGATGAGACTGGAGTGAGGCCTTAAAATAAATACAACTGAGTCTAAATATAAAAGGAGACAATCCCGATACCTGGAAGCCATGAGCATTATGGAAGTTGCCAATAGTCGAGTGTGGCCAGTTGCTCCATGGGAAGGAAAGCTGTCAGGACAGCCTATTTGGGACTCAGGGATTAGGCAAAACCAAACATTGAAAACATTCACAGCCCACTGAGCCTATCCATGCCATCAGGAATCCACAGTTTGTTGTTCTGATGGCTCTTTAGACCTTTCTAGCCACTGCTTTCCTTATTGTAGGGTTCTCTTTCCATAAAACAACAACAAAACTCTCTTCAGATCGGCTGCTCTTTTCTTTAGCGCACTCTAATAGGGTCTAGTTCTTTCCTTATATTGATGAACATTTAAAATTATTTATTGTGAAGTACTGTGAGATGGACAGTCTCAATACCATGCCTCCCCTCTCATCTCTGAGTCTCCCCCAGACAAGCTCTTGAGCCCACCTCTGTCCCCACACAGCTGCTATGAAAACCACAGTTCTCATGGCTCAATACTGCAGCCATGTCCCGTACTCCCGGGTTTCTCCAGCCAATTCAAACCTCTCTCTAAACTTTGGACCATACATCTAACTGTCCAGCCCGTCTGTGGGACATGCACTACACATCTAACTGTTCAGCCAGTCACCTGAATGTCTGTGGGACATGCACTACACATCTAACTGTTCAGCCAGTCACCTGAATGTCTGTGGGACATGCACTACACATCTAACTGTTCAGCCAGTCACCTGAATGTCTGTGGGACATGCACTACACATCTAACTGTTCAGCCAGTCACCTGAATGTCTGTGGGACATGCACTACACATCTAACTGTTCAGCCAGTCACCTGAATGTCTGTGGGGGCATCTCAACACATCACATTTAGAGTCCCGTATTTTCCTCTTCCCCACAAATTACTCTGTAATGTCTTCCTCATAGTTGATAAAAATTGTCTTCCTGTTGCTCAGGCAAAGAGCTTTAGAGTCTTGTTCTTTCACACACACACACACACACACACACACACACACACACACTTACACACACACCACATATATATACACACACATCACACACACACACATCACACCACACAAACATAGGGTGATATTTTGTTTGTGACCTAACAAATAAAGCTTGCCTGAAGATCAGAGTGTGGAGCTAAGCCACTAGTTAGCCACAGAGGCCAGGCAGTCAGTGGTGGCACACACCTTTAATCCCAGCACTTGGGAGGAGGAAGTAGGAAGATTAGGAGTTCAAGGCCACCCTGGGCTATAGGAGATTGACTCTGTCTAGAACAGAACCAGAGCCAGGTGGTGGTGGCTCACACCTTTAATCCCAGCACTAGGGAGGTGGAGACAAGGAATATAAGGCAGGTGGAGACAGGATCTGAGGCTCTTTCAGTCTTAGGATTTATAGACAGGATCTCGCCCCACTCCAGGCTGAGGAGTTGGTGAGGTAAGAGGTGGTGGCTGTGGCTTGCTCTTTTGTCTCTCTGATCTTTCAGCATTTACCCCTATATCTGACTCTGGGTTTTTACTATTAAGACCAATTAGAATTCATGCTACACAAACACACACACACCACACACACGTCACATCACACCATACACACATATACACACATCACATCACACCATACACACATATACACACACCACACACACACACCACACCACACACACACACACACACACACACACACACCCCATACACACATATACACACACCATACACACACACACACCATACACACATATACACACACCACACACACCACACACCATACACACATACCACACAAACACACCACACACACAAATATATACGTACCACACACATACCACCCCCCCCCCACACACACACACTCACACTCTGTACTAGCTGATTCTGTCAGCTTGGCCAGCAAAACGGTCCAACTCTGTCTCCTCTGCTGCTTACCCTTGTGGTCTAAGCAGCAGTTGTTGCACATCTGGATTATCCTAACTGCCTTCTCTCTGCCTTCTTGAGTTTACCCTCCCCATGTGACGGCCGAAGAACATTTGTTTCAACTTGGCAATTTGGCTAGATTCTTGTACCCAATTGTTGTGGCTAAATGTCAGGACAGAAGTTACTGTTCAGGCATTTAAATTGGATACAATTGACATTTAAGTTAGCAGAGTAAAACAGATTACCCCGGAAAATGTGGGTGACAGCGAACCACACTAAGGCCCAAAACTAGAACTTCCTGAAGAAGAAGGAATTGGGCCTCTAGCCTGAAATTCTAGCCCTGGAACTCACGACTGATCATCAACTCTTAGGTGAATGAATCTCACTTTATGTATTTGACATCATCAGCTTCCACGACTGAGTGAGACAATTCTTTAATCTGTGTGTGTGTGTGTGTGTGTGTGTGTGTGTGTGTGTCCCTCTGTAGTAAGTTTTATCCTCTGTATCCTTGACAAGCGTCTCTTTCTCCATAGAGCAGTCAGAGAGAGCTTCTGAAAGAGAAAAATCAGCATGTCGCTTCTCTGTTGGAAACCTGCTTAGATGGCCTTGAATTTCAAACCGACCAGAAGCCACAGGTTTCCAGAGGCTGCCTGGCTGTCTATGATCTGCCTGCCTGTTCCTTTTCTAGAGTCTCTTTCTGTTCTCCCGTTCAAGCTAGTTCAAGTTAAGGAGTGTCGAAAGATCAAGTGGATAATATTATGGGCAGACGCGGCCAATTCAAAGACAGGAGAGGAGTTCCATGCCAGGACCTTAATGGGAATCAGAATAAGAACTAGAAAGTTGTGAATCAAGTCTTCCAGAGCTTCGTAGTTTCTCTTTGATTGGTTACTGGGTTAGTTACTTTTGTCCTTGCTGTTGTTTTAAAAATGTTAAGCGGAGCTGGTTACGGTGCAGAAAGGTCATGAGGCACCAGCCACAACAAAACCCAGTATCAGAACTTTATTGTGGGGGGAGAGGACAAAAGAACCAGGCCTTGGGAAGAAGCATGTGCAGAGAAGAGAGAGAGACAGAGAGAGAGAGACAGAGACAGAGAGACAGAGACAGAGACAGAGAGACAGAGAGAGACGAGAGAGAGAGAGAGAGAGAGAGAGAGAGAGAGAGAGAGAGAGAGAGAGAGAGAGAGAGAGAGCAGGAAAGAACAGATAAGAAGAAGGAGGAGTCTGCATGCGTCCGACCTTTTAAGGACTTCCATGAACATGCGCAGGTCCTCGCGCACGTAATCACCAGCACACACCAATGATGTAAGACCCCTTACTTAGCTGCTGAACTGCGCATGTGTGGCCATGCAGCAGGAGTGACGGCAGAATCCTAACCCTTGCTGTCACCAGATTCCTGACAAGAAACAGCTCTAGAGAGGAAGAGGCTATCTAGGCTTACAGTTTGAGTGATGCAGTCCTTCATGGTGCATAGGCATGGCTGCAGGAGCCTGAGGCGGCTGGTCACCTAGCAACTGCAGCCCAGAAGCAGGAAGTAATGAATGCTACTTGCTTCACGGTTTCATTTTTGATGGATGCCATCAACATTAACCATCACAGCCACCCTCTGCTTACTCCTCTTGCAAAACCTCCAAGTAACTCGGTCATGCCCCAAGAGATTGAGTCATTCAATAGACATTTAATGAATGACTGCTATATGTCAAATAGTGTGGATAAAGCCTTGTGGATAAAAATGCTGAGGAAATCCAGCAGAAGGTTGGGGAGATGGCTCAGTAGTGCACTTCTCAAGTGCAAGCATGAATGGTCCCCAACATCTATGAACAAGAGCCAGGTGCGTCAGCAGGCGCCTGTAATTCCAGTCCAGGGAGGCGGGGACAGACACTCCCTGGGGCTTCATGGCTGAATCAATGAGCCCAAGGTCAGTGAGAGACTCTGTCTCTCAAAAAAATTAAATGGAGGGTGACTGAGGAAGATGCCGAACATTGACTTTTGGCTGCTACATGAATACAGGCACCTCCCTGCTCCACACACCACGTGTTCATGACAAAACTATTGCCTCTATAGGCCTTATTATGTCCTTGTAGAAGATGCAGGGGGTGGGAGAAGTGTGAAAAGGGAGTCAAATATGTCA